GCTCCCCTCGCTTCCTTTCACGTACAAGCCCCGTGCGCCTGCGGTCCCGGATGCGGTGTGTCTCAAAAGGCCCTAATGAAAGCCCCTTCGGAGTGCGGCGTAGTTCTCGTGACCCTAATTCCAATCGATTGCTTTTGTTCACTATTCCACTGCGCCGCAGTTCCTTCGTCTTGTAAGCGCTTCCGCGCCCGCTAGTTCCTTTGCTCTGCTGTGCCGTTGAGGAATTTCCTTGAATAAAATGCGCGGTTAATGTGTGTGCCTCCCGGAAAGTTCACTCTTTGTGCTCTGCTTTCGTGGGGTGGCGGCGTAATTGGTGCTTTGGGTAAGCAACCAGTTCTCTTCGGAGTTCGGGACAAATTGCTTCAATTGGATTAAATCTCTACGTGGTAGGAAGATGAAATTCCGAAGGGTTTTCACTCGACACTTTACTAATTAAGTTGATAAAAATTGAGAGAATTAAATAACTTCTCTTTAATTGAATATTATTTGTTGTAGTCGCCATTATGTAGTTTTGTTTGGCGTAGCTGGAGAAAAATCGTTACACCATGCAAGTTCGTAAATGTGGATTAATAACTTTTTTTAACAAACATAGAACTTGTCGGAATGTTCCATGATCAATAGCTATCTGTTATTGTTTGACATATTTACGTGACAATTAACACATAGTCATTGTTTATCATTCGGTCAATTCCAGTTGAAAATATTTTAGCGTTTAATTATGTCTTTTTGTAAATGAATGTTTTTGAAATTGTATTCTATTTACTGATTTCTGGAGTCATCTAAATGCAACGTGTGTGTGTGTGCGCAGGTTGCGGATCCGCTACGTGATGCCGTCGGCGCACCTGACGCTGCGCGAGGAGGACGTGGTGCGGCTGGCGCTCGAGTTCCTGCACACGCGCGACCTGCACATCTCGCAGCTGTCGCTGGAGCGGGAGACGGGCGTCATCAACGGCGCCTACTCGGACGACGTGCTCTTCCTCCGGCAGCTCATCCTCGACGGCCAGTGGGATGACGTGCTGGAGTTCATCCAGCCGCTGGAGGCGCTGCCCAACTTCGACATGCGGCGCTTCCGCTTCCTCATCCTGCGCCACAAGTACGTGGAGCTGCTGTGCATCAAGAGCGAGGCGGCCGGCGCCGCGGGCTCCATGGACAGCGCCGTGGAGGACGTGGTGAAGGTGCTGAACGAGCTGGAGCGGGTCGCGCCGTCCAAGGAGGAGTACTCCAACCTGTGCCTCATGCTCACGCTGCCGCGCCTCTCCGACCACCTGCAGTACAAGGACTGGAACCCCAGCAACGCGCGCGTGCAGTGCTTCCGCGAGGTGTTCCCGCTCGTCGAGCACTTCCTGCCCGGGGAGAAGAAGGCGTCGCAGGACCCTTCCAACCCGCAACCGACGCCCGTCACCGCCAAGAACGACCGCCTCATTCACCTCATCATCAAGGGGATTCTGTACGAGTCGTGCGTCAATTACTGCCAGGCCAAAGCGACCGGTTCCAAAGAATCTCAAACGCAGGAGATGAGTTTCTCCAAGCTCCTGGACGGCGCGGTGGGGTACAGCGACTCGGACCTCAGCCTGCTGTCGTGGCTGCAGAGCATCCCGCCCGAAACGTTCTCGGTGCCCTTCGAGCAGCGGACGCTCAACGTGGACATCGAGAGGCTGGAGCGGCCGTCGCTGGAGACGTCGTGGACGGAGCACATGTTAGTCACGCCCATCAAGCCCAAGCTGTTCCCGCACTCGGCGATGCCGTTCACGCGGCCGCGCTCCGCCGCCGACATCATGTCGCGCTCGCTGCTCCCGGCGCTGGACGGGCTGCCGTTCGGCCTGGCGGAGCACCAGCAGCACCAGCACGGGCCGGGCGCCAACGCGGCCGCGCACCTGCGCAACCACTCGCCCATGATGGCGCTGTCCACCGGCGACATCAACACGGGCAGCAACGCCATGTCCAGGTCCTCGTTCGCCTCCTTCCACCTCACCGGCTACAAGAACAACAAGCTCATGAACACGTCCGTGGACCGGCTGTTCGAGAACGATGACGACGTCTTCCTGAGCAGTAACTACGCCGAGTTCCAGCAGCTGCCGGCGATCCAAGAAGGCCAGCAGCAGAACGTGGCGGGCGCGGCCAACCACGTGCCGGCCGCCGGCGCCAAGTCCACCGCCCCCAACGCCCCGCCCGAGCCGCGGCCGTTCCAAAAGCCCCCGACAAAAAGCTGCCCGCTGGGCCACCAGCGCTGCACGCGGCGCCGGTCTCTCCTCCCGGCGGATCCCCCCCGAGCAACCCGGCCCGCGAACTCCGCGGCGCTGTCCACGGCGCGCGCTCCTCCCGCCGCACATCGCTCAGCGAACAAGGCCCAGCGCACCACGGTGCTCTCCACCGCCCCAGCCGAGCACCTGCAGCACCAGCACCACGCGCGTTGCGGCCGCTGCGGCCGTGCGGCGCACGCGCCCGTCCTGCCGCCGCCCGCGGCCGCCGCCCTCGGCCCCGGCGCCGGCGCCGCCGCGGCCGTGGCCGTCAACGGCACCAATGGCACCAACGGCAGCTTCGACGGCGACCTCCTCAAGGAGTACCAGCGCCAGAAGCAGCGCCTGCAGGAGACCCTGCAGCAGAAGGAGAGGGAGCGGGAGGAGCTGGTGCGACAGCTGGCCGTCGCCGACAACAGACTGCAGGAGAACAGGTAGGACGGCGACCGATTGGCTTTCATGATGCTGGCGATCGTCTGGTGTAAGAATCTGAATTGGTGAGGCGCGAACAACAACAAAAATAAAACTAGGGAACAATACTAATTAAGCTGATGTTATAGAGCCTCTATTGAAAAAATATGTTATGAATAGGGGCGAATTTTTGATGACCTAAAACATTGCTAAAAATGATCAATAAAATGCTCTTTTAATGCTTTTAAAATGCTCTAAAATAAAGAACAACTACGTTAAAAAATGTGTCAAAACCACTTTAGATCAACAACTCAATACTGTTGCAATCAATGTTGTTTACTGTATGTTACTGATGTAATCAAGGCTTCTAGGCTTCTTGCTTTCGCTCAAGTGAACTCAGCTTGCAAACTTTTGGTTAGACTGTTCTGTAAAAGAAAATCTCTACCTTTATTTATCGAGAAATCGGCTTACCTGACAATGGCGCCGACAGGCGTCACAGCAATCTCAAGTGAAAAGAAATAAATTACATGTTATTAAAAGCCGTCCCCTAGTTATGAATCATTTTGTCAAGTTTTCTCGTAACATTACACCGTTTGATAAACGCTTCTTAACTACCCCTTGTCCGGAAGGTATTGTATTTCACTTGCATAGTTTTTTTCAAGTCCTTCAATTCATTTAAACATTAAATTGTTTTTCGGATGCTATGTATAGATGAATTTCGTTGCTATCTCAGTTGTAAAGCCATAATTTCAATTGTTCCCGCCAGTAATTAATGAATTTCGTTTCACTAGTAAGTCACTAGCTTCGTGTTATTGTTTAAATACCTTTCAGCACTAGTTTTGCATGTACGATGCATGTTGTAAATCACAGGAATGAAAACGAGTAATTGAATTCGCGATTAAATCGTTTTTCATGACTCGCGTAATCAAAATTCTCTATTTGTTCCATACAATATGTATTAGAACAAAAAAAATCGGACCTGCTTTTTTCCGCAACCACTTCATAAATAAATATGATTCTCTCTTTAATGAAACGCGATTTTACGGTTCAAATTAAACGGGCAAAATAATCTGGCATTTTTTGAACAGAGAAATTAATTTATTTCGGCTATAATAATTCAGTTCGGTTTATACTCGTAGTATGAATAAAATAAATTGAACGTTTGATATAGATTTTACTTACAATGTATATTTCTGACTTAATAAAAAATATTGTAATTATCCTCATGTTTTTAAGACCAACATATAGATAGAAATACATAATATGTACAAGTACAATATACTTGGATATGGTCGTCATATTGCTTTAAAATTCCTTCAAAGTTTGATTTCGTAATAATTAATTCCGAATGTGTTTCATGTATTAGTGATCAGAAAGCAACGTCAGTTTTATACAATGTTCATAAACTCTTTCTTAGCTACTCAGGAATTATTGCCCTTCAAGGTCGTAAAACAGTAGCCCATGCTCGTTATTTCTCTAATAACACACATATTCGACTTGTTTCTCCATGGCATGCTGATAATTAAATTTACGGTAATGACACCACTTTTCTCCAGTCTGATTAATTTTAATTGCACTCACTGTAGCATGCATAACACTTCTCGCGCGACGAGTAGCAGACCCCATTGTCGCATGCTTGTCGTGTGTTGTTTGCGTGCCCAAAGAACTGGGACAGACGGTCGTTTCCGATATCGCCTCCGGCTCGGAAATGAAATCGGCTTCGCTGCTCGGCTCGCGCCGTTCACGAGATCCGTGTGTACCTTTTTTGCGGAATCTATATCTATTGGGGGTAAAGCTCTCGAGAAATCACCGTATTCTTGTCTATCTAGGCATACAAGGAGCCGTGGCGATTCACCTGATCAAATCAAATCGCTTTCTAAATATGTAGAGAGAAACGACGTGACGTGGCGAAACGAGACGTCGCTTCTTTTCCTTCATTATTTAAGAAAGAGACACTGGAAGCGTCCGTGCCGCGTGCAGTGTGTCTACGCGAAACTACCGTGTTCAGTTTTAGTGTGAAGGGCACTGCCAACACTACTCGTGGAGGGGTGTGTGTACTGCATCCAATTTCTAGAAGCGTCATGTGTTATTATTTTCTACATTACGTTTTCTGTACTATCATTATTGTAAGTGATTAGCATTTATAAGGCTGTTAACAATTGATGATATATAAACTGTGTAGTGAATAAAAATTACCAATAATTCTAGTTTTAGAAAATAGCACGTGAGTATTTCTTCTGAGGTTGTCATGAAAATTCATTTAGTTTTTTTTTTTTTTGAAGTAGAGTACCGTGAGGTTATAGTAGAATAGATTAATTAGAAAATGTGGCATTTACGTCCCAAATTGGCTACATGATGCACTCATGTTCTAAAATGCGAATTTCATAACAACATTCTAATTCAATATCTTACATTTAAAAAAGTCAAAAGCTGTCTTTTTAAAACATGTGGAGGAATAAGATTCCCGAGTTTTTTGTAATAAGGTTTAGGTGGTGGGTATTGGTCGTAGAACTGAAGACCTGTCGAAAGAATGTGATGTTGAAGTCCACCTGCGTAGCCGGAATGGGTGCTCCGAGCTACCCGGCGGGACCCACCTCCCGCCCCGCGAGCCTTCATCTATGCAAACAAGGCGCCTCGCGGCGTCGCGTCGTGGCGGGAGAGCCGCTCCCGCGTGCTCGCGGCCGTCCGCGGCGCCGGCTGCTGCTTCTGTTTTGCATGGTTGACGTCATGACGCCGCGCCGCGCGGCCGTTGCTGCGCGGACGCCCTGGCGGCGTTGCGCGCACAGTGGTCTGAAAGGAGACGACGAGAGGCCAGGAGGACTCGGGCTACGCGTTTTATTTATTTATTTTTTTTGTTTGTTTTTTTTCCTGTAAATTTTCGACAGAGTATTTTTCTGGCTATCGATTACGATTTCTATTAAAATTAAATGCGTTTTAACAGTTTTTGTATCATTGTACGTGTGTACAGTATGTAGTGTCAAAATTACTTTTGATAAAAAAAATAGTGCTATTTTTCACTCCGTGTATTATGATGTACGAACAATTACCATTTTCGAAGGGTTTGGTCGGAGCAGTTGATCTCGATGATGTGTTTACGATGGTATTTTCATTGTAACACATATTAATTTTGTCGAAAAGGTTTTTTATTTATTTCCATTAGATTTTCTTGTAGTTAAAACCAATTAATGTTTTGGCAAAATATTGTTGCATGAGTCTTGTATAATTCTTGAACAATATAAAATATCTTTTTAAATTTTGAAAATACGTTACAACCTTACTTACTACTTTCATAAATTGAAAATGTCATTAAGCACATTATCAACAATAGTGCAATAAGTGCATTTACCGTGCTAATGGTAAGAAAATTTATTTTTTGTGCAACTATACCTAGACTCTTTCTCGCCGAAATTATGAGAGACTATTGGAAGTTTTCAGAACAGATCCTCATTAATAAATAATAATTTTTCAAACAGTGAATGATTGGGCACGGTGCGCTTGGATCCGTTTCATGCCAGTGCGCGGCGGCGTGGGCGGTGCGAGCTCACGCCCAGGCGAGGCGTGCGGGCGACGCGACGGGCCCTCAAGGCTTAACAGCGCACACAGTCGCGCTCTGTCAGCCGCCTCTCCCTCCCGCCTCTTCGCCAGCTCATCGCCCGCAGGGCCGAAATCAGCCGCCACGGTTCGCCATGTGTCTCTGATCTTCGCGCACGTGACTGTCCTTTCGGAATTGATGTTTTAGTGATAAACGTTTATCATCGGGATAAATTCATACAAATTACTTTATCAGCAATTAATTTTTAGAATGTTCACTGCATTTGTTTCTTTAGATTGAATGGAGACATAACGTGTGTACGGACGATACACTCATGAGATCGTGTAGGGAATAACTTAATGCTTGCAGCACACACCAGTTGGATTATGAAATTCAAGGCCCTGCACAGAGTAGTGTTCACACAGTATACGTATAAAAATTAATATTGTGAACGTATTTTAAATTATTTTTTTCTTAGTTAAACTTTGTTAAAGTGCTTTACAGTAAACCCCATACATTATTACCGATAGTTTAAAGAGGTTTAAAGTATGTTTATAAATATCAAATATAAAAAAAAACATATCAGTGATGTTGGAAAATAGTGAGTTTTTTCAACAATAATTGTGAAATTCTTATGAATTGCTAAGTTTTTATTGTTTTGATTTGTTTCTGTTACCAAATTATTAAAATCAAACTTGATTGAAATTTGAAAACTGAAAATGAATGTAAGGAGTTGCTGCTTTCAATACTCTGATATTCCTTTAGAGAGAACATTTTTTTATTTATAGTTTTGAACTATATAGCAGTGTTGCATAGTATGCAGTTTCCTGTTCTCTTCGTTCTTGGTGAAGTTACTGGTACGGAATTGAACTGGTTCCTTATCTTTCTCGCTCCACAGAGCAAGTCAACAGTGCGACACGCCCTCGAAAAACTTCCTCTGCGATGAGTTTCCAACGCGTTTGAGGCGAATGTTCCGCACGGAATGAGAATTAAGATAATGAGGATAAGAACAATCATACTATTTAGTTTACTTTGATTGCACAGATAAACGTGATCAATGAAATTTATTGTTGTGTGTGTTTTCTCAAACATGCTATTCAGAATCATGTGACTCATCGCAAGATCGCTCAGCAGTCATGTAAAAATAATCAGTGCAGAAATATAACGGTATTCCATTATGGGGAGAAGGAAGAGAAGTAATATTCCACAAAAAATGTGTATATATATATATATATATATATATATATATATATATATACAATTTGTCAATATATTCAATAATGTATACATAAAAATGTCATTATAATTTTTGTGGAATAATAGTTGTTTTTCTCCATCTCTGTACCTTTTGAGGTGCTCCTCTGTGTCCATTCGAATTTTCTTTTTATATTCTTAAGTTAGCCGTATCCCCAAAAGACAAATGCAGCTGGCAACGTTTTGCCCATCTGACTCGCATTATTCTAGCTTCCCTCTGGATTGACCATACAATTG